GTAAACAAAAAGTTAATGGTACTTGTCATTAAATGTGTGTGAGATCGATTGAGGTATACACATAAGGTCCACTTCTTCAAACAAAAGAATTAGAGACACACCATCACGAATTAACGACAGCCTCACTGGCCTGGTCTGCGGAGAGCTATTATAAGAAGCACTTTTGTTATTATATTTAATGTATTATTACCCAAATTTATAGCGCGAAAAGACTGGGTTTCCCCCTGCGAATGAAACCAGTCAGCTGTTGGTTTGTTCTTGTTTTGTTTTTTTTGTGTTTTGTCTTCGTCAGGTCCTCCCTACAAACAAGGTCTCCCCCCTCCCGCCCATTGCCCAAATTCCTATTCGTCTCAACTCTCCACCCAAAACTCTCCTGACCTTGTCCCCACTCCCCTAGCTTAGGCCTCCAAACCCCCTCCTCAAGGGCTCGAAGCTGTGCTCTTCCGAGACAGGCTTCGAGGCCTCAAACCGGAACCCCTACACTCTCGTTTTGGCCCGACTCCACCTAGACTCCCTGGCCGCCACACCACTCTCCTACTCCTCCGTCACTCCGATCCCCCCCCCCGTTGCTACCACCTCCCGAAAACCACTCCGTGGTCCCAAACATGTGCCTTACGGCCACACTCTGCCGCTTCCGGTCCCTAAAGAGAACGTCCTGGCCGGCCAGCTACAGCTACGGGTACAAACCAGACACCCACTCCTCAGACCCCGACGTGCAAGACCTGTGCGACCTCAACACTCCCTACAACACGACTACGGCTTCTCCCCACTCAACGTATCAGTTCCGCCCTCCTCTACTCCGTGGCCACTTACTCAGCAGTCGACGGGTGAGTATGTGGCGCGTCGTGTGTGTTTTGTATGTGGGACCGCTGGCCTGTAGAATAAAGTATTTGATTGATTATACCCGCATTTATTAGCGCCGTCAAGCTACACAGATTGTATTCCTTTCATAGAACACGCGTATGGGGCCTGTGTAGTTGGCTCTTTCGAATAGCAACGCGGGTTTAATTATTTCGTACCGGAGCAAAAGAAATTTACTCGGTGCTGTAATGGGAGGACACGCGTGTTTAATAATTTGGCACCGGAGCAAAATAATGAAAGAAAGGTACTTGGGAGGTCCCGAACGATCTAAACAAAACAAACTGCCTTTTTACGACAGAAAAAACAAAGCCGTCCAACACGATTTTTAAAAAAGACATCAACATATCCTTACCGTTCAAGACTTCTTAACGAACCACCCTTACGAAATACGACTTTTCGACTACGATTTGACGATACGACTTTACAGTACACATCTCTTTCACTTCTAAATCTAACTTACTATGTACTGTACCCCCGAAATACTATTCTCTTCTTTCTTCATTTTTCGATACCCTTTCGCGTCTAAAACTGACGTTGAAAACTGATAAGGGGGCTTACGCGCTTACCTAGACAGCGGGACGGTTGCCCGTAACTACTGAGGTATAAAAAAAAAAAATATGCCAACTACGCAACTACCGACTTAGCAATGGTTGGACACTTCAATAACACGACAAACCTCTAAAATGGACTGCAATAGTCTGTTGGCACAAAGTACACGCTCGCGATATCGAACAGGAATCGCCGGCGTAGGAGACTCCACGAAGCCCTCAGGCGTATGCAGGAAGCGGTTGCTTTCCGACAGGTAAGTTTTTTACTGTCCCTGAGAGGCTTACGCCGGCGTTACGCGGAAGAAAGGGGTCAAATCCCTAGTAAACCTACCATGTGAGGCGCCAAGGGGATAGGGTCTACTGCCCACTGCCACTTTACTCAAAAAAATTTTTTTTTATTCCGAACAACATTGCAAGGGAGTGCCAGTTTGCCAAACGACTAACAAAATTTACATGAGTGGGTTGACACCTGCTGTACTTCTTTCATTTGGAAAAAAACACAATAAATATTATAATGCCCGTAACCCTACAAAGAAGATGTAATAAGATTTATTGGTATATACTTCACTTTGTAAAAGCCTTGGGACAGAACCAAGATATAACAACCCTGAAGGACATATTTCATTGAAAAAAATAATTGACGAAAACAATATGGTAGAATGACGTGGTAAAACAAGGGAGACTTATCCGGGTCGGTTCCTCGCTGACGGCGTTGGAAGAAGGTCGGGGTTACGGGCGGGGCTCCGCTCTTACTTCGGGAGAAGGACCGCCGGGACAACGGCTGGGAGCCCTTTTGATTAAATGGGTTTGAGGTGTGGTTTATGCATGCCGACTAGAACCTAGGTATAACTTGTCAAAACTTGTTGTCAAAACCTTTTGTCAAACTTTGTCAAACTTTGATAAAACGGATCACAGTCTGAAAATGGCGTGAACACTGACGTCGACTCAACATTCCATGCCCCGCCTTTTACATCCATTGACGGTAGCAAGCGCGGGGGGGGTCCACGCTGTTTTTCCCTAGTTACTAGCTATCTGGCAGAGAAAGCGTCTGGGTCGACGCGGAGGTCGCCTGACGGCTCCGACCCCAGAGTCCTCCGACCCCAGAAACAACATACATCATGTAGCATTTCACATTTCCATAGCAACAACAACTTCCTGTCAACAGCGTAAACTCGCCTTCAAAATAAAAGCATCTAAATAAAACAGAAAGTTAACCTAAATTACATTTAAGACATATACAACTGCAACGAAAGTAACAAAAACAATGTCATATCCTTTTCAGTTTCACATAACACAAATTGGGTTATTTACACATCATGCGCCCTGGTGACCGGACATCTCCTTCCTAAAACGAGTAATAGGGGGAATAATCGGGCAGTTCAATGTGTGTAGAGGACGTGTGTGTGTGGCTAAAACGTAGCAGCCTCAATCTCTATTCAGCTGTTCTGAAGGTAAACACAGTGAAGGCGCTGCGTAAAAGACACAACTCTCTGCGCGCTGATAGCAGATACTGTGAGAGTCACAGACATGAATTCATAGATCAAGGCAGACTGGTTTACAGACTCTCCTGTTTTGCGAATCCGGTGCTTAAACAAATGGCTCTACACCTCTGGCCGAAATGTCCTTAAACGAAGTCCGAGTTTGAAATATATCTCAAATAATGTATGCACTGTCATTTCCCCACATAAACATAACAGTCTGCAATGAAACGGTTGTCTCCTGTGCGCTCCACTTCCTACTTGGCGCACCGGTAACTTTCTCGTCTGCACGAAAAAGTATCTCGTGCGAACGAGAAAGTATATCGTGCGCACTAATTAATAGAGCGTTGCCTCGTTTTATTTAAATTGAGGCCACGAATTACATTTCGTGCGCACAAATTAATAAAACGTGGCCTCGTTTTATTTATTTTTCTCTCTATGAAGCCTTCAGGGCTCCGTACAAATCCCTTTTGCAAACATATCTTGCATATGGTCACCCACCAGGTTTGCCTCTGGGTATTCCTCCTCCTCTTCCTCCTTGTGTTCTTCGAACTCCTCTGTGACTTCAGCCTTGGCCTCAGCGATGAGCTCCCTCACAGGCCGGCTGTCCTTCACACTGGACACGAATGGATGCTGTGGAGAAGCCAAACAGAAACAGCACGATTAGAAGCTTACAGGAATTCATTTGTGGTAGTAGTCTATTTGCTCATAGGAGAAGTACCCTACTATATATGTTATATATGTCCCCAGCACATAGAAAACTGCTGGATGCTAATTTGCATATGTTAGGCAATTTGGACAATTAGCATACATTGTGTCAATCAGCAATAATAAGCATTATAGCCTATGTTGACAACAGTTAAAACTGACAATTTTGGAGTGGTTTTGGGGGTTATTTAGGATGCCGAGTCAATTTCTGACATGTTCAGGATCCAAAATGGCAGTGATTGTGCTTGGCATGATTTTGAATAACTTTTGGTATATTTTAAAGTTTAAGAGGACTCTTGATCATTTGGATTGGAGAGATTGCTTATCTATTTGAAGACATATTGTCCAAAGTAGAGGTAATCATTTTCAACTTGTACTCTCTATATCGCAACACTACTCATTGTAGTCAAATCAGCCCACCTAAAATACAAATATAGCCACTGCTGAATATGTCAGAAATGGTTTCAGCATCCTCATTAACCCCCAAAATTGTCCAAATCAGCCAAGCCATTTTTCTGAACTAGTATCTGCATAGGATGAAATGTATTTTAATAGTTATGGCTGATTTACGCAACTTATGCTAATTGCTCAACATATGCAAGTTAGCATCCGGCAGTTTCAAGTGCTGGCAACTAGACTATAGTGCAAAGCATTATGGTGTAGAAAGATGTGACCTGTTGCAGTAAAAGTAAGTAGACACCCCACAAACGACTAGTCCCAGAGATTTTGATGTATAAACTGCAAACAAAAAAGACACAATATAGTACTTTCCAAAAACTCTGAGATTATTTAAAACATTTTCCCTGCATCATTCTTTTGTAACTATCCCCACAGTGAAGGAGTTGATCTTTAATACAAACAAAAGCACGAACACACTGCATCCTTTTACAACCTCACCTTCTTCAGGTTAGAAATCTGCTGAACATATTCTATCGCTGGCCTCAGAATGTAAAGCTTCTTCCATATCAAAATCTTCATCGGTGACAGAGCGCTATTTCGTATTTTTAAGCCCATCGAGTCTTCTTACAATACTTTATTTTATCTTTAAGTCCTGTGTTTGTGTATCAATGAGTCCTTATTGCTTCTCCGTAAACAAGTGGCTCTGATTTAGACCTTATGCAAGACGTAAAGCCTGTTCTGCTGACGTCATGAGTGTCAGTCTGGCCAGGTTCACTACTTGTGTAGTGAACAGGTACACAGATGTATGCTGCTTACACTCTGAATGACAGCTGGCACATGGAACGAGGATTATCGCAGGCTTTAAGTGAGCAGATAGTGAGAGAGAAACGAACCTGCAGCAGCTGTGTTGGAGTCCATCGGTTGTCCACATGCTTGTCCAGACAACGCTTTAAGAAATCACTGAACTCTGGGGACCTTTAAGGGTAGAAGTGGGACAGAAATACGCTTATATATTGGACATTCAGTTAAAAAACGTAATTGCTCTTCTATGTCAAAGACGCCTTCATCGTAAGTGTGCTAAAAACTTACACTGAGAAGTTATACATTTTGCCAATACTTATATACCACTGTAAATGTTATATACACATTATTCGTTTTAGTACAATTAGCCTATTTTTAACTACTTAATAATTATCTTTATTTTATACTGTTATTGCAAACATTAAACTCTTATGTTTATATAATATTCTTATTACATTTTTATATTATCTTTTTTATATACACATTTTTCCTATATTGTATTGGACATTTATTTGCCTATGTAATTATGAATATCTTAATTTTATTTAAACTTTTTATTGTACATTACAGTGGTGAACCGTCAGGGCCTTCAAGGTATTCAGAGAATACCCTGGAACACTCAGATAAAAAAAAAAGAATTATATAAATAAAGTGAATAAATGAGAATGGTATCTGTGTTGTTGATCTGTAATATTACAGTGGTACATTGATTTGTTTGTCCTTCTCGGACCATGCACTACGCATTTCAGTGGTTTTGTGTTAGAAAAAAAATGCAACCAATCAGATCTTGTTCTGGGTCTCTGTAGAATATCCTTCAACCAAGGTATTCTACATCCTTGATAGAATGCCCTGGCCCTCACACTGAATGAGAGCGTACGTTTGGACTGACAGTTTGATCAACCAATCATATATTGATTTGCAGCCAATGGGCGTGTTCTTTCAGAGTTTCCCTCGGTTCCAGGGTATTCTAGAAGGCCCGGTAGTTAACTGGCTCGAGACAGAGGATCTAGATAAATGCAACGTAGCAATTCATTTGAAGTTTTATTCGTTTTTTACGTCGAAATGGCAACAGGTGAAGATGATGTTGTTGCGGAATTGTTGTTAGTACCCTTTTCAAGACGATCATTCAGTGAAAAGATGGATATTATAAAAAAAAAAGGCCGTCCAACGCAAAGTGACTGCCGTTGTGACGTCCGTCTGACTAGAACAACCGCATTTTAGAATCCGGGGGGGTGTCTATAGAAGGTCCAGTTGTGATAGACAAGGTTCGCCAATGTTACATTATTACTTTAACTTCTCATGTTTGTATACATATTTTATTCTATTTTGGTTTTTCTTATAATTAAAAGTATCTTCATATTTACTTTAACTTATTTTGTTAACATAAATATATATATTATTTTTTTATTGTACATTATAACTTTAACTTCTTTGATCTATATACATTTTTATTTATAATTTACTTTTTCACTCTAAAACAGAGCAACTGTCACAAATCCCATTCCACTTTGGGATAAATAAAGTATTCTGAATCTGATGACCCCCCCGCTGAGCCTCACCAGCGGGACGGCTGCATCAGGGTTGGAGGATCGGCCTTGGCTATTTTCAGCAGCACTCTCATGGGGTTCATCTCGTGATTGGGCGGCTCAATCTGTGCCAGCTCGATCAGGGTGACCCCGAGGGACCAGATGTCCGCCTTGTAGTCGTACGGACGGTCCTTGGACGTCTCGCACATCACCACCTCTGGAGCCATCCTGGGAGGAAATTGTTATATTATTATATCAACATACAGCAGGATTTGTGGTTGCCACGTCAATAAACAGTCTATATGAAATAACTACAAGATGAAGCCTATTTTTGGTCACTATAGTTTGAAAAAAATAGTTTTCTCATTTAATAAAGAACTTTAGTGCAAAATGAACATTACAGTTTCAATTGAAATTATATAGAAACTACAAATATTTACCAACTTTTGCTGACTATGTTTGCAAATAAATACCAAGTAATCAATATTAAGACAATAGTTGTATTTAACTACAAACAGAATTAGGCAATGATATTCCTTCAATTGAATTGAAATTGAAAGATGTTATATTTAATTATTGCTCAGCCAAGGGATGGGATGATATGGATGTTTTATTGGCGATTACAACAAAAACAATTACAATAATAAGATTACATTTAAAAAAAATAAAAAAACATAAATGTTTTAAATTATAAATAGAGCCTTCTTCAAAAATACAGGAATTATCATTATATATTTATTTGTATGGTACTATAGCCATTTCGTACAATTTAAAGAAATGTTGAGCATGTTATGATGATTATCGGGATAAAATCTTGAATCATAATTATTATGGTAAGAACAACCGTCAAAATACATTTTCATATTTACTCATGGCTAAGATGGAGCATTTTTTACTTTCTTTTATTTATTTAATCAAATTAATTAGCAGGCTTTTTTTGTATTGGCCATGTCCATGCTTTGTTTTATACTCCACTCACCAGTAAGGCGTTCCAATGAAAGAGTCTCTCCTCTGGAAAGTTTTGGTGTTTTTGGCCGACACACCAAAGTCAGCTGGAAGACATGGAACAAGCCAGAAATTAACCAAAGGAAAACCACTGTCACCATGTGAGACTGACCGTTGAGCGGCCCGACCAAGCAAGGAGGCAGAGGCAGAATGTCCAAAAATATAACCCGACGTGGGCATTTATTAAAACATGAACATATTACACACAGCCTCAATCCTGCTGCTGCTGTTCACGTGAGCCCAGCCTGCAGCCACCAGGATCTCACACACACTCACTCCAGCACAACAAAAGACAGCACTTAAATACACAGAGGAATCAAACACAGGTGAGGGAAAAACAATTAGACACAGGTGAGGGGGGAGGAACAAACCAGGGCCCCAGGTGCGCACAATCACCCGGCCCAAAGCCATCAGTCCATAGTGACGCAGTTCCCTGCGTCACACACCATTTATTTTTAAAACGCAAAAAAGTACAAAATAAAAATAACTGTCCCTATGTGCAGCACAAGCCCAACACTGCCTGAGAGACCATTCGCTGATGGAGCATTCTTCCTACATTTGCATGTTGACATCATGCCTTATCTGTGTCGTGTGTGGGTAACAGCTCATCCGTGAACAGACACCTCTGTGTGTTGTGTCACCAGCGTATGTCCTGTCTCTACTAAAAGGTGGGGAGGCCACTTTATTAAATAATTATAGGCCCATCTCTAAATTATCAGTTCTGGCTAAGGTTCTTGAACGCCTAGTGAGTGAACAGGTAAAGGTGTTTTTATGTACAAATGACATCCTGTCCAAACATCAGTCAGGCTTCAGAAAGCAACATAGCACCATCACTGCGACAATGAAAGTGGTGAATGATGTGGCGAGTTTTTTAGATAATAAGCAGAATTGTGCAGCTCTATTTATTGACCTGTCCAAAGCGTTTGATACCGTCTATCATCGCATCTTAAAGCAGAGGCTACTCAGTATTGGCATATCCAGCCATGCAGTAGGGTGGTTTGTGAACTACCTCTCTGAAAGGTCCCAATGTGTTCATTTTGATGGGCTGTCTTCTGAGTGGTTAAACATTACTAATGGTGTTCCTCAAGGTTCTGTTTTAGGTCCACTTTTATTCTCCATCTACATCAATAGTTTAGGTGAAAATATCGATGGAGCAACCTTACATTTTTATGCGGACGATACCGTGATGTACTGTGCAGGTCCCTCCATTAAGGAGGCTGTTGTTGAACTGCAAGCAGTTTTTAACATTATTCAGACTCAGCTCTCTGAACTAAAGCTTATTTTAAATGTTGATAAAACCAAGGTAATGCTCTTTTCAAAAGCTAAAAAGACACCAGAGCCTGTTGTAGATATTGTAACTACGCAAGGAATGC